AACTGGAGGGAACAATAGCAACAGGAGGAGCGGCATCCAAATCGAATTCGTGGAATAACACCTTTGTTAGTAGGGAATAAGACAGTTCGAATATATGCAGAGGGAAGTTTGGGTTCAAAAACAGATAGTAACACATTGCCCAAGTTGCTGACATTAGCAGTGACTGAGTAAACATGTTGCTCGGTTGAATCGGCTACGTCATGATCAGGAACGGAGTCCTATTCAACTACTGCAAAGTGTTGGGATCGGCAACAGCGAGCAGTGTTTACTTTTTCCAGTTTTTACATGTGAGACTGCGGGCTAGACAAGAAAAGTTAGCCCTGTGAGAGGTACTACCACAGCGGTAGCAGAATGGTTTACTCTCTTGGAAAAGATGAGCAGACTTTATTTTTGTCACATCGGTCAGTTTAGTTACACAAAACTGTTTCGTCTGCAGAGCAACCTACATCTTCATTCTGACCAAATCGCAGGCTCGGTTCCAGAGTTCAGGCGTCTTCCTGTAGCAGCACTTCATGTATACGGTTAACAGCAATTCCAGAGATCAACAGTTGCGTCAGCATGCACCCTTCGATCTTTTTCTGCGGAATAGCAGAGTGCTTGCAAGGCCGCACTGCACCATTAAGTTTAGTAATAAAATCATTCGGATTCACTTGGCTCCTGTTGCATTCGGGAGAAGACGAACGTTCCTGTGAACAGGTTCATTTGGGAGCCCCAAATGCGATTGAGAGCTTTGAATGCATCATCAACTGATTTGCATCCGTGGAGGTTTAGGTCATCAAACTGTCGTTGCCCCTCGTCTCCGATCAATTGACGAAGTAGCTTTAACTTATTTTCCTCGCTGATTGAAGACTTTAGGTCGGTACTTAATTCCAAATAATTCTGGAAGGAAATTTTCCAGTGAAGCCAGAGGTCTGACGTAGGCCTGCTCCCACAGTCAGTTCAAAATGCCGATGGAGGTTGAATTGAAAGATCTATGGTTGTACTCGCGACGCCAACTGTTGTATCAGAGAAAGGTAGATGTAACAGCAGTTGATTGTAGGAGACACGTAGAAGGAAAAGTGTTCACTAAGAATTCCGCTAATCGATCGATCAGCGTTGAGCGAAGTTCGGCTAATCAGGTTGTCAAGGGTAAGATAAGAGAAAAGCACACAAGTCATTCCATCCGGGTAGTCTAATCGAGGAGACGGCTAATTGGACTAACCTGACAATCAACACAAACACTCATGAGGAAAGTAAAGGTAACCATACAGAAACAAGCGCTAGACGGGGAGGGAACCAAGCTAGCTCAAGCTACTATATCTGTAGTGGTCCTTAGGTACAACCGTCGCACTGAGACTGGACCATAACTTGGTGCGACGGTTTGACTACCTCGTCGACCCATTGCGCTATACTGAGTGGGGCTTTGCAAGTTACAATGTTTGCAACGGTTGTGGAAGGAAAGCACACTACCAGGTGTGCCGCTTTTCTACCAGAAACATTGCCTCAATAGCTCAGAGTTTTATCGCCGCTGTCACAGTCGTAGCCTCACCAGTCTCTCCCGTGCTAATCGACGACACTCCTCTGAAAGCGTTAGTTGATAGAGGGGATCAGAAAGTTACATTGCCGCCTCGGCTGTTAAACAGTCCAAATGGAAAATCCTCGGATTACATTGCAAAAGTCCAATATATACTACTCACCTAACTAGTTTCACGAGCTGTCATTGTTGCTGCTGTGCAGACCCTTCTGGGACACGATTTTCTCAAACTTCACGAATTTGCTTGATGAACAATCTTCCCTCTCAATGCATGCGCTATCACTCGCCGATGTGGTTCCACCAGCTTCGTTCGAGAACGAGACGTCACCCAACTGTAGACGAGAAATTCATATGACTGGAAATACAAAAGCTTCTTAAGGACGGGAATACTGAACCATCTGTATCGCCATGACGAACTCAGGTTCTGATATCTAAGAATGAAAGCCATGAAAAGCGCATGGTTGCAGAGTACAGTCAGATGCATGCCCATTACACAGAATCGATGCTCCTTTTGACAGAATCTTCCGGTGTTGTGCACAGCACCTTAAATCCTAAGAGCGCATATCGAAATGCCAACAATAGAGCAGAAAAGAAATTCTCCGTATGAGGAAACCTTCCCAATTCTGTTGGATACACTTCAGTGTAAGCAACTGGGTCGCCTGATTTCAAGGTGATATTGGTAGGATAATAACGTACTAAAGTTTGAAAGCGACTTTTGCTTACATGGATAACATTGTGAGGGACAACCGAGGATAAGTAAAGTTTTCGCGAAATTGCTCAAAAGTATAATCCGACCTTTAACAAAAACAAAACATTATCCGTGAGAAAAATATACGACTGTTGGAAATTTTACACGTTATACCACCGAACCCAAACCGTCTTCAACTACGGGGGTGAAGTTACAGCAGCGAGTTGTGAGACTTTTGATTAGTATCCCTAGTGGATTTCTCACTTCTCCCATAAAATTCGCTCGCCGGTAGACAACCACCGCTTTCCTCAAGCGTGAAAAAGAAAACTCTGTTGTCGTTTCTGTTGATGAATCAGCACCTCTAGTCATGGAAATGAACACCTGGCACCGCGAACGCTTCCACTTAGCGAATAGCATCATTTTTCTTTCATAAAGAAGACACTTTCTATCTAGATTCAGTACAAAAATGGCGCAACTGACATAATTAAAATCACTCCACGATTAGTACAGATGAGTGGTCCGCTTCGTCCCGATGCAACTTTGATTAAAAAGGTGATAAAAAGTGAGATTCAGAATGAGCGTAGTTTACCGGACTGGCTACAGACGCTTTATCGCTTACAGGTGACATTCCAGGAACTGTATGACACCCTGGTCACCCAGTAGTCACTGGAATTTTCCACTTGATTCGTAGACGGTACTCACCTTTCTCAGTAAAGGAAATGGAATCAATGAGGTTTCGTTGCGGCGTATGTGCCGAAGTGAAACCATGTGTTTACTTGTCGTAAGGAACACTCATTAAGGCGACGCATTTTTGTGAAATTAAACAGACCTCCAGAGCCCATTACTCACAGCGACAAACAAAAGCATTTGCTCAGTACTGTTGACGGGTATTTTCGATTGCCATTTGCTTTTATGTTATAGTGATCTAACAGCTTTAGCGATGATTATCTGTTTAACCCAGAGCTTCTGTGCTCGGCATGCGGCTCTACAACTATTCTGATCGCGGTTTGTCTTTCGTGTCTCAAAAGTGCAACATTTGCTCGTACAGAAAGACATCGCAGCCCGTAGGACGACACCGTACAGCCCCCAAGGTAATGGATTAATGACGTCATCGAGAGATCTAAGGGCTCACATTAACCCAGCGAGAAAGTGCTTTGATGGATGCTTTGCATTCAATTCGTCACCTTTTCGCTGCACTGCCACAAGTGTCACTCCGTGATAGATACTTCGGTTACAATCGCGAATAAATACAAGCGATCTCGCTACCGAGTTGGCTGAGTGCGCCACGACACGTCTTGCGGCATCGTAATGTGGAAGCCACGGGTGGACGAAGTTGAGCAATTGGATTGCGATTTCCAGGTTGAAAACAAGGCATTTCGTGTTGTGTCCCCACTGAAGCCTTCACCTCACGACCGCAAGTTCAAAAACGAGTCCGAAAGAGACTTGTATACACGAAATCACATTTGTTTATATAGTTTTGAAGGCAAAATGAAGGGGAGCTAATAAATTACATTTGAGCAAACCATCTGAAGAAAAACGTAAAATTCAACGGGCGAATAAGAAACCGTGTAACCACGAGCGAACCACATATATTCTTAAACATAGCATCATGGCACCCCAATCGTAAACCGAACATCCATTTGCCGTGCCGGGCACTGGCCAATCAGAATAACGAAATGTAGCGGTTAAACAAATGTCAGGAAACAAACGAGAAGTGCAGACCCCCAAAAGTAAAAGCTAGTACAATAATTGTATGACAACTAAATATTCCTTTGAGATAATCAAGTAGAAAAGTGATGTGGAGAGAAACCAATGGAATGTGTTCTTGTAAATGGCACTGCTGAAAATGTCACGGAGATGAGCGTCCATTAACAATGACGTGTGTGTATCAATCGGGCTAACACAGTGGAGCGGTTAAACAACAGACAAGAAATAGAAAATAGGAAGAATAAAGAGTGGCTATTAAGCTCATTCACAAAATATGAATGCCAAATAGCTGTTCGCCCAACACTGTGTCACTTGGCACCATCAGCACTGCACAAATCCAAGGATTCTTCTACCCCCCTACCCAGACTCCACTGACGATATACACTCACAAGAAAACGGACACTAACGTACCTTGGATTGGCACTCCTAGTCCGACCGACTTTTTACCTTCACGGGCAACAACAAAGAACGTGTGCTAACTTTTTACGTAACCGTGAGGTGTACAATTAGTCACTTACACCATTGTTTACAAACATTAGGTTGGAGAAAATGACGTGTAACTCCCTTTCAAGTTATTAATCAAAATTTCTATACTTCCTTTCAGCCTACTACTTGCTGAATAAGGTCTTTTCACTCGCGCTGCACTCATCTTATCCCGCGTTTCTGCCCCGCCTATTTACGTAACAGCTGCATCACGGGTTAAGGTGCAGCAGCCACTATTCCTTTCAATCGGTATAGAGAAAACGTTCGCCACACTAAAAGGAGACCGCAGCTTGTCAATGTTAGAAAGCCTGATGCTACAGTTTACAAACGAAGAACTACAAAAATACGTCGCGGGCCTTGTGAACGAATAACTCGGCGCATCAGTACCTAGGCTGACGTGGCCATCATATTGGCGACTTATTTAATTGCAGCAACCAAGGATCAAATAGGCCTCGGGTAAAAATAAACGAATTGTCTAGCACACGCGACTCAAAACCAACAATGCGTAACTCGGTTCACCCACTGCTTGTGGTATGCAATAGTTGTGGGGTCCAGATAACGAGAGTGAAGGCACCCGCTGGGATCAGGCGAAAATTGAAGTGCGGAAAATCGATTCTACATGGTGTATTTCACAGTTCTGACTTCAACTAAGAGTGCAAATGTACCGGGAGTCATAGAAATGCCGGTTTTTGATTCCCGTAGCAGAAAAGTGACAGTGAAAATGGCTAAACAGAGAGGATATTAGAATGCAAACAATATTAGTATAGCCATCGTCAAGCAAAACAGGCCGACAGCCTCACTTAGGGCGAATCCTAAAATGGCATACGTAAAAAGCTGCTGTTTTAGACCGGGATTTCGGGCGTATCCAATAATCATGCTTCCAAAAACGGAGCCAATGCCAGCTCCAGAACCAGCAGCACCGACAGTGGCGGCTCCCGCTCCAATGTACCTCGCAGCCTGATCAATGTCTTGTCTCGCAATAGACGTGTGAAAATGATTCGGTGCGACGGATACGACACCAGTCCGTGGGATACAATGATATTTGGCAGCGACTGAAATAGCAGAGCGCAGGGCCAAACGAGCCTGGGGGATGACGGGAAACATCTGAAACAAATGAGCACAGATTCAGGTATGGAAAAGGATGGTAGGAATCAGTTTAGCATCAGACCGTCAAAAAGTAGTAAATGAAAAAGCGATTTGGGAAATATCGTTCCAGTTGTCGTGGAACCAAGATTGAATCGGGCCGATGATTTCGCAATGGGGATCGACCGGACTAATGGAGGGCTTAGCCAGAGGAAAATATGAACCTCAACGAAAGCAGACCATCGGTTCGATGCGTGTGCAGTACGCGACACCCTCATTACACGTTAGCTCAAGGTGGAAAACATCTCAGCTACTGCGTCGTAATACACAAATATATGGAACAAGCGAGATACAAGACAGAATACCAAGCAAAAAATGAAACTACTAATATAATGTATGGCATCGTATTATTACTTGGGTGAGACCAATGATAGAGAGGGAGGATAAGCGGCAGAGGGAAAAAAGAAACAAAACAAATGTCATTGAGGTCGGCTCTTCGCTAAGTCAACAGGTGGGCGCCCTTCGTTTCCCAACCTGGCAGTCGGAAGATGCCAACCGACACTAAATTCAAAGTGAGAGAAATCATTCCTGTTGACCAAAGCACCGCTTGGCCTCCCTTCCTCTTCTTTAATTCACACCATGGTCACATAAACTGCATGTCGCGCGAGTCAGTGTGTTGGCTGACGCAACCTGTGGCACAGCTAGCGAGGCCTGACGGGTGGTATAACAATGCTGAGTGGGGTTCACTTGCTCTTCTAGCGCCAAATACATGACGCCGAATATGCTCACCGCTCACACAATGTTCCATCAGACGGGCTAAAATATGAAGACAGCGATTGTCGAACGTCACAAGCCAACTTAGATCTGTCAATCGCATTGGCCTAGAAAATCTACTATTTTAGCGATTAATTGATTAGTAACGATTCTGGAATGTATTAGTTTCTGTAAGTGACTAAAGACCACCTGACAACTTGACAAAAGATATGGGGAACCACTAACCTTGGTAGCGAACCTTCCAATTCTAGAAGTTGGGCAGTAAGAGACCTATAAATATAGCCAAGGTCCGCGGTAGTTGTAGTGTTTGTTGACGGCGTTTAATACGTTGTTTTGCCAAGGTTATTGGCGTTTTGCTTTTTCTTTCGGTTGGGATAGAAGTTTGTGGAGCATTTTAATGTCAACCTCGGAATCGCGTCTACTGAGATCATAACAAATGATGACGGAGAAAATTAGAAATAAAATTTTCGGCTGAAAATTTCAAAAGCTGCTTTTCCAACAGCAATCTCAAATGGAGGCACAAATGAAAATGATCGAAAATCTGACACAGTGCTTGAGTTTGCAGACAACAGGAGCAGCGACGCAGGACATACAGGCGTCCTGTTGATCTGCTCATGAATGCAATCACTGAATTCAATTATGACGCAGATTCTGGATGCACATTTGAAGCGTGGTTCAAGCGCTAGGAAGACATGTTCCGGACGGACTTCATTCGTCAGGACGACTCCTGGAAGGTGCGATTGCTACTCCGTAATAAGTGAACATTCGAGGTTCATAGACCAAATACTGCCCAAACAGCCGAAGGATCTGACGTTCGACGAAGTAGTGTCGCAGCTGAAGGAATTTTTTGGTGAGTCAGTATCCTTGTTAAGTATTCGCTATCAATGCCTTAAAATTGTCAAACAGGAATCAGACTCTGGGGCCCCAGCAGGCATGATTAACCGTGAGCGTGAGCGTTGCAAACGGACGATCAGTTTAAATCACATTTTCGTCAGCGCTCTACAATCCTCCAGTGATGCTGAAATCTGCACGCGGCTTTTAGCTAAGCTGGATCAGGATCCTGATCTGACACTGAAGGCTCTCGTAAGCGTATGTAAACGGCTGCTCACTCTAAAACAGGACACTGCCATGGTCGAACGAAATGGTCTCGCACCACCAGATACTGTGCACTTCGTGAAAACCAGGACTGTCAACCGAAGCAAACCCTTCAAGAGGTCTACGAACAAACCGCCCACAGCATGCTGGTCATGCGGCGAATGGCATTTCGCGCGATTTTGTCTGTTCAAACGTGCCATAAGCGTGGGCATAAAGAGAAATTCTGAAGTCAGGTCCGGCCGAAGAAAGTGAAGAAGTCTTATCGAAAGGGGAATTCTAGGAAGGATGGCGCAGTCTCTGTCCATAGTTGCTGCATTCCAAAGTGAGTTTAAACCGAGACGACGATTTATCAGGGTGTTGATCAACGGTATCCCAACGAAACTGCAATTTGACACGGGCTCGGATATTACGATTATTTTCAGGAGCACATGGAATCACATAAGGAGGCCAAAAAAAGTCGAGTCTCAGAAAGTTGCACATACTGAATCCGGTGGTGTTAAATTCAGTGGGCGAACTTACTTGCGAGATTGCTTTCAAAGGTGTGGAAAAGTCGGGAACGTGCTACATTTCAGATCGGCCGAATCTGAATCTTCTTGGTCTCGACGGGATTGAAAAGTTGCAACTCCTCGATGTTCCCTTGAATCAGATCCGCAACCGAGTTCGAGCAAGTCCAGACCCATCAAAGTCCGTCGAAAACATGACACGTACCTTGAAACGAAAATTTGCCTGTCTTTCAGAATGGCTTGGGCCATTGTACGAAATTCAAGGCAACGCTGAGCTTGCGATCAGGTGTTAAACCGGTGTTCAAAGCTAAAAGGCCGGTTCCATATGCTGCCATGTCAACCGTTGATCAAGAACTCGATCGACTGGAACGTGCCGGAGTCATCACAGCCGTCAACTAGTCATCATGGGCCGCACCTAATGTCGAAGTGAAGAAGGCAAATGGCAAGGTACGCGTCTGCGCTGACTTCTTAACTGGTCTTGACCCCGCGCTGGACGACCACCAGTACCCATTACCAGTACCGGAAAATATCTTTGCAAAACTGAATGTGCTAAGTGCTTTGCTAAGCTGGATCTATCCAATGCCTACCTTCAAGTGGATATTGACGAAGTCTCGAGGGAGCTGTTGACGACCAACAATACAACCGCTTTCCCTTTGGTGTAAAAACGGCCCCAGCCATTTTCCAACAGCGAGGGTTTCTGGAACCGCTGCGTATCTGAATGAAATCATAGGGCTGCGTCGGACACTGGAAGAGCTATTTAAACGCCTGGATAAAGTGCGTGATTGTATACAGTCGTACGGTTTCCGGATCCGTGAAGATAAAAGCACATTCACGTCGATCGCCAAATACCCCTGTTTTATCCTCGAAAAGGATGGACGTCGACCAGATCCGGAAAACATAGAAGCCATTAGAAAAATGCTTCCAATAACAGATCTACAGTCCTTGGGTTTCTTTTGTGGGCTCATCAGCCACTACAACGCATTTATGCCTGAGATGCACCGCCTGCATGCCCCGTTAAACAAGCTACTAGCCAAAGGCCAAACTTGGAACTGGACATCAGAATGCCAGAATGCCTTCGAACGGGTCAAGATATTGCTGTCCTCAATCTTGCTCTTGACTTATTTTGATCCCTACAAAGAGACTGTCCTAACCACAGGCACATCAAGCCTTGGGATTGGCGCAGTAATTTCACACACGTACACCGATGGATCTCTGAAAGCAATCGCCCATGCCACCAGAACACTTACGAAGTTCGAGAGGAATTACAGTCAGATTGAGAAAGAAGCATTAAAAATAGTGTACGCGGTCAAGAAATTCCACAAAATGCTATACGGCCAGCGCTTCAAGCTTTTGACAGATCAAAAGCCTATGCTGGCTATCTTTGGTTCGAAAAAGGGCATACCGGCCTACACAGCCAACCGGTTACAACGTTGAGCTCTTACCTTGATAGGGTATGATTTCGAGGTCCACTACCAGTCGACAATTTCCATTGGCCAAGGGGATGCACTGTCACGCCTAACTGATGCCCACGGCCTAACTGATGCCTCGGCGGAGAACGAACCGGACGTCACCAATCTGGTAAATGATGCATTGTACGGTCTACCAATTACCACAGAAGCAGCACGAACCGAAACGCTTCAAGACCCAGTAGTCAAGAAAGTTACACAGTTGCAGAAAACAAGTTTGGCACGTTCATGTCCATCTGCCGAGTTACAACAGTACTTCCAGAGGAGACAAAAGATGACTCCTATCGTCAACTGGACGAGCTCCTTAGCCACAGACGAAGCTCGGACACTGTAGTGCTGGCTGGGGATCTGAACGCTAAAGTTGCAAAATTATCCAATGATGAGCTGCATCTGGGCGGCCAACATGGTGTAGGCTCCCGTAATAATAACGGTGAGCGGTTACTTCATTTGTGTGAGGATGCTCGCTTATTTCTTGCGAGCATTAATTTCCGACACAGCACCCGCCGGAGGGTGACTTGGCGCCTACCAGCCTCGAACCAGCTATGGACGCAAATCGATCATATTGCGATAAGTTGCCGATGGAGAGGCTGCGTCCAGAACTGCCGCTCAATTTGGGACACATTTGTAGACACCGACCATGCACTTGTATGTGCTGACATGCGGATGCGCTTTGGCGGATGTCCAAGACGACGCTGTGAGCGCACTGACATCAGTCAACTGGCGAAGCCAGCTGTTCTGAATGCCTATCAAAGTACGCTGTCATGAGAGTTGGATAAACCCTCACTGGATGCAATTGAAGCGCACTGGTCTCATATTCACCAGACCTTACTAGCAGTAAGAAAATTCTCATGTGGTATGTCTAGTCGCCAACATAAACATTGGGTCTCTTCACAGTCTCTGGAACTTATAGATGCTCGCTTGCATATTCCAACTGGAAGCGAACACAATGAAACTCGCAGAGCTCCGGGCAAAACTCCGTGCTAGCCTGAAGAGAGACCGCGAATCCTCATCGTGCATCAGAGGTGAAAATGGCCGCTGTCCTTGGTAACCATCGTAAGTTATTCCGGCTGATACGGGAATCGGGCAGCAGGAGACCTGATGTTAGTAAAAGAATTTGTGACGAGAGTGGATAACCTATCCACAACTTGTCAAAACGCGTGCAGCGTTGGGTTGAGCACTTTGAAA